TTTATATGTTTTTATATATTTGTAATGAAAATCCTTCAATAAAAATTTATAATGGAAAAAAAAAAATTAAGTGCATGACTTGGCAGCAAAATACTTAAATGTTGGTAATTATGCAGGAAATAGCATCTCTGAGCTCCTGTATGTCCAACAAATTGATATGCTAAGTTTGTTATCTCTACATAAATTGCAATCATACTTACAACTGCTGCTGTCCACCCTCCACATGTTAATTGTGCTCATTTGTAATTTATTTTCATGATTACTACTGCAAATAAATTTGATGTATGGGGAGGTGTTAAAAATTATATTTCCTAGGTGCCAGATATGCTAGGTAAGCTACTGTATCTACCTTAAACTGGCCATAGATGGAGCAAAATTATTTTCTGCAACCAAAGGATGCAGGAAACAAAATAGCACAATACCCCCATAAATACAGTAAGTGTTGATGAGGGGAAACCTTCCCGTGGAGCCATTGTGTTCTCCTGGTGGGAGGGACAAGGGGAGCTGTCCCCACCAGGAGAACATAGTGAGTACCACTAGTGGCTATAATAGCTGCTAGCAATAATCGTATGTAAAATTCGACATGTTGTACCCAAGTTGATTGATGAAGAGTTTGGGTTCATTCAGCCTGCCCACACATGGCTCAAATCTCAGCCAGTTCCTGCTAAACTGGCTGAGATTCTAACCATCTCTGGCCAGCTTAAACTTCTCTTGTGCCTATTTTCCCAAAAGATTTCACACCTCACTGAAGCAAATTAATCAATGGTCAAATTCAAATGTATAGGTCACTTGTAAAAATCTTCGCTACTGTGATACATACAATTTTTAATGTCTTACTTGCTTCTCCAAGCAAGCAGTTAAAGAAATATAAAGGAAAATGTCTGATACTATGGTGCCTGAAAAACATAAGCATAGATTATAAACTGTTTTTCTTCAACCTTATAAACTGAATAACAGGTGATTTTTCTAAGGGTTTGTTGCCAACCATAGTGTATCAAATGATTCTTGGATATGTCATCTGACAGTCAGATAGATTTTACAATTTTTTCCTATAATATTCTTTATTGAAAAGAGAAGACATATACAATATGAAAAACATATTCACATACAACAAAAGTGTGGCGGATACGTTGAAATAAAAACACACAATTACCGTGCATATAATTGAGCTAAAGAAGTGGAAAACCTCATCTGTTTAAAGATAAATCAAAAGGTATAGAGATAAACCCAATAGAGGTATAGGCAGCCTATATAGTGGCCAAAATAGGTGAACATATTTTTTTAGCAAATAACTAGTCTCATGAGTATTAATTCTCATTAGTCTCATGGTTTAAAAGACTAATGTTGCTGAGTTGCAGAAGTGCCCCAATTGAAAAAAAAAGATAAGTTGTAAAATTAATCTATTTATTTGCATCAAAGTTCCCTTAGCTACCCCCACCCACATAACAAATCTTTGGGACATGGCAACTTATGATTAACACCTCAAACCAACTACACAGTGATCCATAACATCATGTTTACTACAGTACATGTTCAAAATGCACAAGAGAGAACATTGGCCCCCATAGATCCAGGTGTCCTTCTGCATGTTAATGGATTACAAATAAAGAAAAATGTTTCATTAATTCCAAGCCTTAATAAATTAGCTGATACAGCCAGTAGATAATTTAAGTACTACACAGGTGAATGCTCCTCACTACAGTTTCATTACAAAAATCTATTATGGCAATTTTTCATCATCAGCTTCACAATAAATTTAGAACACCATTTAATGATTTAAAAACAGAAGAAATAGTAAACTTTACAAACACTTTAACACTGCTGGCTGAATCAGTTGCACAGTTGTAATGGTGAAACAGCTTCTTGCTAGAAGTTGATGTAGACCTGTTACTAGGGATGAGTGAGCAATATAGTTGAAGTTTATTTTCCAATGAAATTACCAATTTAACCCTAAAGGAAATGTTATAAAAGTTTAATTAACCGCCTCCCGCCCACCATATAAGGAAATGACGGGAGCGTGGCGGTTCTCTCGTTCTGGGAGGATGTCATATGACGTCCTCCCACTCTAACCGTGCATGCACGCCCATGGGGACACAGTTGAAAGAGCCAATGACTTCAGCTCTGTCATGTGATCAGCCATCTCCAATCACAGCTGATCGCATGTAAATAAGGAAATGCCAGTTATCCGCATTCCTCTCCTCACAAGCTGTCAAGCTGAGAGCTCATGAGGAGAGTTGGTAATCAGCATTCCTCAGAGGGGACATCTACACTGATCAGTGTAGCCCCATCAGTGCCACCTGTCAGTGCCCACCCATGCCTCCTGTCAGTGCCCATCAGTGCACATCAATGCCACATATCAGTACCCATCTGAGCTGCCTTTCAGTGCTGCCTATCAGTGCCAGTCAATGCCGTCTATGAGTGCTGCCAATCAGTGCCACCTATCAGTGCCGTCAATCAGTGCCTTTCAGTGCCACCTAACAGTTCCAGTCAGTGTTGTCTAACAGTGCCATACAGTGCTGCCTATCAGTGCCGCCTATCAGTGCCATATATGAGTACTGCCTTTCAGTGCCCATCAGCGATGTCTGTCAATGCCCATCAGTACCACCTACCAGTGCCTCCTTATCAGTGCCCATCAGTGCCGCCTAACAGTGCCATACAGTGCTGCCTATCAGTGCAGCCTATGAGTGCCCATAAATAGTGCACATCAGTGAAGGTGAAAGATTATTCATTTACAGAATTTTATAACAGAAACTAAGAAAAAACTTTTTTTTCAGAATGTTCGGGTTTTTTTTGGCTTGTTTAGTAAAATATAAAAAAACAAGTGGTAATTAATTACCACCAAAAGAAAGCTTTATCTGTCTCAAAAAAATATATAAAAATATCATATGGGTACAGTGTTGCAAGACTGTGCAATTGTCATTCAAAGTGTGACAGCTTTGAAAGCTGAAAATTGGCCTGGGCAGGAAGGGGGTGAAAGTGTCCGGTAGACAAGTAATTAAAGGGTTTGATTTCCTAAAGGCCATGGACTGTCCACTTTGCAAGGGAATTTTCCCCAGAGCTTAGTGAGTTTGGTGGTTTCACTTTGTAGCGACTACCCACTCATGTGCAAGGAAATAAAAAAGCACATGACTGGATAATGGAAGTTAGCAGAGCTTCACCTCATTCTCTCAGATCTGGGCAAATGTCCTTTGCAAAGTGCAACTTACTTGCAATGTGAAAATCTTACTCACTGTTAGTAAATCAACCCCGTGGACTGCTTAGACAAAATGTGCCTGAAAAAATTTGATGTGGCTTTGTTTTCTAACAATTCATGTGAGCCATGGAGAGTGCTGAGCTGGTGATGAATAGATTTCTTTATCTTAAGACAACCATGTGATTGGAATGGTAATGCTGACTGGGCAATCACTAAACTTTGTTGATTAACAAAGCCATTCACCCCCAGCTCCGCACTAGGGATGAGCTAACATGTTTTTCAGCAAAGCTCTTCTTCACCATGTAAACATTGTCATTTATTTCTAGGTGTATATCCAGTAAGTATTAAATAAATACTATTGCTAAAGTCTTGTAAAGTATAAAAATAAAACTACATATAAATGTTTTAAAAAATGTTTAAAAAATTGAAGATCTTCCTTAAAGTGGAAGTAAAGTCAAAACCTAACGAACTCTAAGCCTACTCTCAGCAACATTCTAAACCTAATCTAAGCCCATTCTGCAGCTGCTCCGGTCCAGTCCCATGCTCAGCTGTCAGCGGTGACTTCAGAGTGTAGGAGTGTGTAGGAGAGGCAGCCAACAACAGAAGCCCCATAGTAACTCTAAGGATGACGTCACTTTCCAGGCATTTCCCAACTGTTGTTGACTGTCTCCTGCACACAGAGGGTGCCACAGGAGACTAGAGTGGCTGCAGACCAGGTAAGCATAGTGATCTTTTCTTTACAGGGCTAGATAGATTAGACTTTGAATGTGGCTGAGAGTAGGTTTACAGTTAGTTAGGTTTTACCTTTACTTCCACTTCAATCTATTGTAATTTAAAATCCATTACACCCTCAAATCTATCCAAAATCCCCATAATTACCCCCCCATAGACTCCAATGCATTTCATCAAAATAACACATTTTAAAATTATATACCCATCTTTTGCTAAAATTTTGCTGAGCAAATTGCATTTAGATCTAATGAAAACTGTACGCCAAAACAATATCAAAATCCATATATTTATTCAACAAATTCTGTCAAATTTGACCTTGCCCAAGCCCCTCCTACTTCACAACCCTCTGTATTGATCATCATTCCTATTTACAACCTCAGGAAGTAGAAGGAGTGAAGAAAATTAGATTTTTATAGAAATGTCAAGCAAAAATGATACACACACCCTGTTTAACCACTTGCCTACCTGGCCACTTTTACCCCCTTCCTGCCCAAGCCAAATTTCAGCTTTCAGTGCTGTCGCACTTTGAATGAGTATTGCGCGGTTATGCAACACTGTACCCAAACAAAATATTTTTCACACAGATAGAGCTTTCTTTTGGTGGTATTTAATCACCACTGTTTTTTTTTTTTTTTTTTTGCTAAACAAACTAATAAAGACTGGCAATTTTGAAAAAAAAAAAAAGTTTTGTTTGTTTCTGTTATAACATTTTGTAAATAAATAATGTTTCTCCTTCACTGATGTGTGCTAATGAGGTTGCAATGATGGGCACTGATAGGCTGCACTGATGGGCACTGATGAGGAGGCACTGATGGGCATTGACAGGCATCACTGATGGGCACTGAAAGGCATCACTGATGGCCACTGAATGGCAGCACTCATATATGACACTGATAGGAGGACTGAGAGGTGGAACTGACTGGCACAGATAGGCAGCACTGAAAGGCAGCTCTGATGGACAGTGATATGTGGCATTGATGTGCACTGATATGTGGCATTGATGTGCACTGATGGGCACTGGTATGTGGCAATGATGGGCACTGGCAGGTGGCAACATGGGCACTGACAGGTGGCAATTATGGGCACTGATAGGTGGCACTGATTGGCAGCACTCATAGGTGGCACTGACTGGCACTGCTAGGTGGCACTGACTGGCACTGATAGTTGGCACTGAAAGGCAGCTCAGATGGGCATTGATATGTGGCATTGATGTGCACTGGTAGGAACTGCAATGTGGCATTGATGTGCACTGATGGGCACTGACAGGTGGCATTGATGGGCACTGACAAGTGGCATTGATGGATACTGACAGATGGCACTGATGGGGCTACACTGATTGTCAGTCAGTGCCCTGATGATCAGTGTAGATGTCCCCTATGAGGAATGGTTCTTCTCGGCTCTCCTTTCCTCACGCGCTGTCAGTGTGAGGCAAGGACTGTCGATAACCGACATTTCCTCTTTATATGTGATCAGCTGTGATTGGACATAGCTGATCACATGATAGAGCCTGTGTCATTGGCTCTTTACTACGATCAGTGATCCGCTGTGTCCCAGGGACACAGCGTATTACCAATGCCCCCCGGGGGGCGTGCATGTGCAGCTAGACGGGGAAGATGTCATATGATGTCCTCCCATCATTTCCTTATGAGGCAGGTGGGAGGTGCTTAAACTATGAAACCTGTAAAGCACTTTAGGTTAGGAATATGTTGGCACACACACCAGTCCTTAGTACACTGTGACTTTCTACATGATTGGACTTTATTTATGTACTTTCATTACTTGCTAATTTGAGACTTTCCAAATTCAGTATTCTTTATGTGTGCTATGTGAATCTTCAGAGTGCTTTCCACAGACCAGTGAATTCAGCCCTATCCTCATTACCTGCATCAGAAGCACAGTTGAAGTTAAAGCCTAACTTCAGCTCTACCTTTGGATAGAGTGGAAAAGAGTTAGCGTTTCTGACAGATTTAGCTGAGTGTGGAATAAAAAAATAAGGGATGTGGTAGTCACTTAAAACACAAGAGAGGGTAAATAAATAAATAAAACACAAGTAAACCACAAGAGAGGGTAAATAAATAAATAAACCACAAGAGAGGGTAAAAAATAAATAAATAAAACACAAGAGAGGGTAAATCTCCCAAATAGGGGCACAGTTAGCAATTAAAACCTGAGAGTCTCTAACCCTTTCCCACTCTATATTATATGTCTGAAAACTGAATAATGTGTTTTAGCTGTATTTGGGATTTGACTGCTCCAAACAGTTGATCTGATGAAGTTTACTAACTCAGGGGGTGGTGGCATTGGAGCAGATTGGAATTACTGCAGAAGGTGCGTGATGCAGTTTGGTTTCACGCCAAGAATACTGTTGTTATGTCAATATGTCTTTAACGACCAACAACCAACGTCAAAGAAGTTTTGTCTCACAATGCTGACCATAGTTAATGGATGAATGGAACAGTCTGATGTTTTGTGTTAGACCACTTGAGGCAAACAGCGGTTCCCTGCCAGCAGGTTTACTCTCGGAAATGAAAGTTTCCATTATAGTGTAGTATACTTTTTATGACACGCATTAAGCTCTTTTCTACTCTTTTTTATTTCTTAAGTAAGGATGCTTTCTTATCAATGTCTGCTTCAACAATATGTAATTTAAACTGCTAACATCCGCATCATTACCATTCCTTTTATTCTTGTATATACACCTAAAGACAGCTAGAAAAGTAATGCTTTATTATTTTTTTGTTTTCTTTTTTTCATTGTATCCTTCCAGGCAATTAGAGATGAGTCAGAGGACACATGCTATTTTCAGTTTATTCAGTGACCTTTACATTCTCTAAAATATACTCCGTACTGAAAATGCTTTATATTTTTGCTAATATTGAAACAATCTGCACGGCTGCCTAATGGACACACACAATGAGAGTGCATTCCAACATAAGGCAGATAGGAGTTTAAATACCTTTGTATGCTTGATCTTGCCTGAAAATTGTGCTCAACCAGACAGGACCTCAAACAACTGCATACAGCATCATGTAATGTCGCATTCATAGTTATGGATTTAATGAAAAGATAATGTGCCTTCGGAAGGATGAACAAACACTGCCTGTATAAGCATTACAATAAAGCCACAACAGTTGACAACTTTCCATTTGCTTTAAAAAATAAGAACGGTTTAGAAAATGTTTCTAAACGTGTAACTCTATATTTCTAAACATTATGTCAATGTTATCTTCTGTTATAGAAAATCACATTGTATAGACTAACGATTACATTTAAAAAGGCACAACCTTAAAAAGGCACTAAATTGTTGGGTTTGTTTTTTCAAAATTACAAATTGGCAAAAATCCTGTGATCTTGATTTTATCGTATTCAAATAAGTAGTTCAAATAGCAATTATGATATGCAATGCTAAGAAGTTTCTAGTCTACCATTAGATTTCATTTTCTGTAGTCAAATCAGTACTAACCCATTTCTGATAGGTTACTAGGGGCTATTGTACTGCTGTGTACTACTGCACATAATAATTTCACATTACTTACTACTGATTATAAGGGTTCATGTGAACGGCTATTGTTTTCCTGTGTTTGACATGCGTTTCAGATGCACATCAAATGCAGGCCAGAAAATTGCCTTTGGCTTCAATTGAGCAGTACACATGACAATTCAGAGGTTGTGAGGTTGTGTTTGACTTGCTTTGAATTGTGCTGTTTTTCTTTAGATGTCCTATTGAGGTGCGATTGAACTGCTGTCTAAGCGGGTGTTTGACATGAACATCTGTCAACATGATCCTCAGGGTTACATTCAGACAGCCAAATAGCAGCCAAACACCACCTCTGGATGCAGCAACACTCTATGTGCTATGGCCGAATACAAACTGGCTGATTTTCTGTGGCCAGTTTATGTGCACCCAAAACTCCGGAGAAAATTCAACCCTAGATGCACAAATGAGTGGTTACATATATATAATCAGCAGCAGTAACAACTATATATTTGTACAGACTATAAAATAAACAGTCATCTCTGACAAATGCAGATGGTCACACCCCATGGGGTTGATTTACTAAAGGCAAATGAGCTGTTAACTTTGAAAGGAAAGTTGCAATTTTCAAGAGAATTTGCACTAAAGCTTAGTGACAATGTGGTGAAGTTTTACTTTACAAACAATATCCAATCGTGTGCAAGGAAAATGTAAAATTACATCATCAATCTTGTCTCCAAATATCACCCAAACTATAGTCACGCTCCTCGCACGACCTCCTGCTCTCTAGCTCCTTTGTCTTCTCCTCCCATGCTCGTCTCCAGGAGCTTCCACCATCCTCTAGAACTCTCTACCCCAATCTATCAGACTATCGCCTACTCTGCTCACTTTTAGGCGATCTTTAAAAACCTATCTCTTCAGGAAAGCCTATCCTGCCCTCAGCTAATAATGGAATCTTCTACTCCTTCTACCAGTCCATCCCCCATAGTTACTACCATTTGTATCACTAGTCCCTCCCTCTTAGATTGTAAGCTCCAAGCAGCAGGGTCTTCCTAACCCTCTTGTATTGAATTGTATTGTTGCTGTATTGTCTCCCGTTATATTGTAAAGTGTTTAGCAAACTGTTGGCGCTATATAAATCCTGTATAATTATAAGAATAAGAATAATTAAAAAAAAAAATAGTTTTGCTTACACATGATTGGATGATGGAAGTTAGCAGAGGTTCACTTCATTCTTTAAACTGTTGGGCAAATTCCCTTGAAAAGTGCAACTCTTGTAAAGCAAACAGTCTATTTGCCTTTATTAAATGAAGCCCAGTGTGTGCAGGCAGAATTTAAAATTTTGGTCACTGCTATTCAGCTGTCTGAATGTACTCTTACTCTTTATAGGAAAAAAAATACTTATATGCTGTCATTTATGAACTAGAACAATATTCTGCATACATTCTAATGTGCCTAGTGGCATACATGAGCACATCTAGTAGCCCGCTAAACTGTCTGTATCTATCCATAATGGCACAGTTCTAAATCTTGAAAACTGGCTGAATTAATCCATTGTTTGGTATGCATTCAGAACATTGTGAATGTTTACAGTCCCCATTTAGACTGAAATGGAAAAATGCAAGTTCACCTTTCAAACTAAACTTCATGAAACTTATAGTACATGCAAGCACCTATCGTGAACCTTATTATGGCTAATGATCCTAGTGCTCATATTAAGAGTCATAAATTTGAGAGTATAGTGCTTGGAAATTTTGCATTTAATCACTTGCCCTCCACCCTATATCAGAAGTACTGCTACAGGGCGGTACATCTGCGCAAAATCACGTATATATACGTGATTTGCATTTCCTGGTATAGGGCACATGTGCGCACCATCCTGCCTGTGCTACTATTGGCTGCTGGGGATGTCGATCACCGGGTCCCGTTTTGGTAATTCCTGGCCGAGACTCGGTGATCGTCCGCAGGGCTTAGAAACGAGAGATTTGTGTGTAAACACACAGATCTCTCTCCTGTCAGCATGGATATGCTGCTTTGTATCTCTCTGCACACCAGAGGGATACAAAGCAGCATGTCTCTCAAGTAAAACAGCACACAATGTAAAACCCACACAGCACACTGTTAACCCTTTGATCACCCCAGATGTTTACCCCTTCTGCCCATTGGCATTAGTACAGTGTCAGTGCTTTTTATTAGCACTGTTCACTGATTAGTTTTAATAGGGATGTCAGTGGCAGTTAGTCAGTTTCCACCCACTGTCAGAATGTCTGCAGCAGTCCCACAGTCCTGCTATAAGTCGCTGATCGCCACCATTAATATTGTACAAAAATAAAAAATTCCAGTATATATACCGCCATTTGTAGATGCTATAACTTTCACGTACACCAATTAATATACACTTGTTGGGATTTTTTTTAATTTATGAAGACTTTTTTTTTTAATTTTTTATTGGGTATGTTTTATAGCAAAAAGTCAAAAATACTGGGGTTTTGTTTTCAAAATTGTCAGTCTTTTTTTTTTTTTTATAGCGCAAAAAATAAAACATGCAGAGGTGGTCAAATACCACTGAAAGAAAGCTCTATTTGTGGAAAAAAAATGACATAAATTTAATTTATGTACAGCATTGCATGGTCATGCAATTGTCAATTAAAGTAATGCAGTGCCGTATCCCAAAATATTACCTGATCAGGTAGGGGGGTACATCCTTTGGAGGGCAAAAGATTAATACACCAACAGCATCACTCGGTGAACTTACAAACAATTTTTTGGTTCTAGTGACTCATGCTTTGGGTGTATATTGAAAGTGATGAATGTGACTTTCACCAAACACTCACTGATGGTAAATAAATTGCTGTCATCTAAAACACACACACTGTGAAGATTCATCTGCAGTGAATGTTTGGTCAATGTCAGATTCACTGCTTTATAAATATGTCCCTTACAGTATTTGCATAATCTTACGTAATTCAATATTTTTGTCAAATTTTCCAGATTTTTAGACAAATAGCCTGTGAGAAAAACTTGCCAAAGTTTATCAATATTTGCTTTA